CAGCTTGCTGAGTGTCAAAATGTTTAATACCATTTGGTTTTGTTTGGTGCTTTCAACCAGTCACTTCACTTTCTTTTGTTTCCTTTTTCAATTAATTTCTTCTTTAAGATATAAAATACCTTTATCTTTTAGTTGGTTTAATGTGAATCGGGGTTTGAAGTGACGGGTTCTTGTCTAGTACGTTCTCCTTTCCCCACCTCGCTCCTCCTCCAACATTTTTCTCCCTGAGCTAATCTGGCAGGGGCTTAAAAAGTGGAACCGGTGGGTTTCCTCAGCACAAACTGGTTGGTTGGTCCTCAGATTTCTCTCACTAGCAGCGTCCTGGGAACACATTTTAAGGATGGATTCTGGTGTTGCAAAAGTCAACCCTGGATCTCCCAGTGTCTCTTCCAATCAGGTCTGTAAATCTGTCCCTATCGAAAACATCTCTCACCTTGTGGACCCCAGTTCTCTTTTTAACTGAGTGGTGGTGGTGGGGAACCTCAGTGATGTCGATTGGTACCTTCTCATTGGAAAGAGTAACGCACCGAAAATGCCACTCACAGAACACAAACTGGGTTAACCTCTCTGCATCCGTGAGCAGCAGCAAAACCAATTGGCTTTACAAGAGTGTGAGAAGTTACGGATCTGTTCCGTTCCTAATGAAGGTTATGTTAAGCAGAATTTGGGGTGCAGATTTGCCTGTGTGAAATACTTGTCCAACAGACAATATTAAACAGACTCATAACTAACGGCACGGAAGAAATCTTTCCGTCTCTCAGAAATGGCTTCTCTGCATTGAAGTACTTTGACTTGCATCACAGATGTCCAGCTCCAGTTCTAAAATCTGGTTCTATCAGGAACAAGCTGTATCCTTGTTTGAAAAAAGCTCCTGAGAGTTTTTTGGCCGTTGAAAATGTGTGTTTGTGTGTGCCTGCTTGTGTGCGTATATCGGGAGATGTTGCACATGCACATGGAGCATGCACTTATGTGGATGCATGCAAGGTTGGCTTCGTAAAACAGGTCTGACAAAGCTGTCATGGAAACCAAACATCCCTGAAACTCAGGGAAGGTGCTTCTTGAAACCAGAAGTGGGTAAAAGTATTAGATAAGTGTATAGAGACTGGACTGCCCCATCCCAAATTGTTCCTCTCCAGAGAGGGCAGTTCTGCTTTCCTTTCTGGTCCTTGAAATGTGTTGGACAGCAAAATGGAAGGAATGTCTTCATCGCATTTTTTACATGTAAAATTCCACTCTGTCAGCTGCTCTGTGTGAAACCCAGCTGGACCCAGAGCTGAAACCCTTCTTGATCCAATCTCCAGCTGCACTTCAAGCTTTCTTCCCACCACCGCTGTCCTCCTCCTAGGTCCCTGACCTAAACGCTGACCCGGAGATGCTCAGCTTGACAAATCTCATGTCAACAGCCAAATCAGAGAGGTGTAGGAATTAAAAAAAAACAGCAGCGGGACGGTTCTTGGTAGCCAGAGATGAGCCCTAGAAGTACTGCAGTTGTCACAGCCCTGAGCCGTAGCAGGGATGTACCTAGGGACTCTCGGAGGTCTCCAGCATTGAACGTTGGAGTTGCTGTCACATCCTAGGTGGCGTGTGGATGTTTGTGTATTTGTGCGCACACAGGAGTGTGCAGCTTTTTTGAAACCAGGATGCACAAGCACAATGCTGTTGCCTGTTTTGGTCTTGAATTAGCCTGCCGCTAACCCGGATCCAAATTCTCCCTTTCCGCAGAACGCGCGTTGTCTCGGGCTGGCATCCAGACGTGCTGGTTGCTGCCCATGAGTTGATCAAACAGCCAAAGAGTAACGCTGCCCCGCGCCCCCCCGCAGCTGAGCGAAGCCCCGGGGTGCTGCGGGGCGGGCGGGGAGAATCGCTCTGCAGTTGTTGGCGAGCGTGCTCTGCGCAGCTCCAGCTCCGTGGCCCCGAGCTTGTGTTTTGTGAGTGGATCTCTGCCCTCCCCGGCCCAAAACCCCACGACAGCAGCCGGCTGTTCCCTTCAGACTCCGATTCTCAGCACTCCACCATACATCAAATGATGCTTTTAAGTTACTGAATTCTGGTTTGTTCTTCCTTTTTCTTTTTTTTTTCTTTTTTTTTTTATTTTCCTTTCAGTTCCATTTTTATTTCTTTGTGATTAGCCTCAGTTTGAATTAATTGTCTTGTTCTGTTTCCATGACAACTCAGTGTTTGCATCCCACCTGCCGTTGTTTGTTGCTGTTGATGCTGTTTGCTGACCGGATCTTGTCCGGCATATGTCTCCCCATTTCTCCTCACCTCTTCCCACCTTGCCTCCCCTCTCCAGAAGGTGACATATCAGCCCCTCCTCAAAAGAGTCATCCCCACCCCAGATCTGTCTGCATGTTGACCCCACTTGTTTCTTTTCAAGTTCTCTCCATCTTGTCTCAGATTGTGACCGGTGTGGTCTTCACATGGCTCCATTTTCTGAAATGCGGTTCCTCCTAACGCAGACAGTGGAAAGAAGGATGGAGTAGGCAGCAGGGCCGTACCCTCACGTCTAGGGCTAAAAGTCTTCCATAGCGGTGTGACGGGAGGGAGCAAAAGGAGCGTGTTGCCTGCTCTCTTGAGCCAGGGCTGGTGCCTGGGGTTGTACACACACCGTGGTACTCCTCTCTAAAAGCAGAAATTCATCTTGTAGTGTTAGTGCCCAGGTGAGTTTGCGGTCTCTCCCTCTGCGCTCGAGTCCTTTCCCCAGCCATGTTGGAGGTGAGGGCATGCTATCCATTCCCTTTGCAAATCCGTGCATGCAGGAATTCTCCTCTGACATCTCTGAGCTCCTAATGCCACAAATCTGGAGGTCTTGCCTCATAGTTCCTGGGTACTGGTAACCATGCGGAGAAGGATCTGCTAGCACGATGGGAAGAGCACACCTTTCTGTGAAGACCTCGCCTTGTCAGCTGGCAGCGGGAGGCAGAGGCTTTATTTGGCTTTTGTTCAGCAAAGCCCCGCTAAATGGAAACCAGCCACTACCTCTCCTGGCAGCGCCCTTCCCATCTGAAAAGATCCGTAATGTTGAGTGGCAGCCAGGGAAGGGGGCTGGAAGATAAATACTTTGAAAAACCCAAGACGTCAGTACCGGAGGATATCTGAAGGCACTAGGACTTGGGAAGAGCGATGGCAAGCTGAGCTCTGATGTCCTTTGCATTGCTTTTGCATGGATACAATTGCCATGGATTTTTTAGAGAGCTTGTTCAGAGAGGTTACCCGGGAATAGTACAGCAGGGACAGATATTTTTCAGGCCCCCAGCACTCCTAACTCTCTTGCCCCCTTGCTTGCCCTCCCTGTCTCGGAAGCTGGAGGAATCCCGCGCTCCTTTTCTCCTTGGGCTGTTGCTCTGCCTGCAACTTCCTGGGATTTGTGTCCTTTGGTCTTTGCTTGCGGGATGGGCCCTTGCCCTCAGCTCCCTCCCTAGGGCCCCTCCGATCCACTTACATTTCTCCTTTGCCTGTTCTCCTGCTTTCACCCCTACGGAAGAGCACCCACCTTGGCCAGCCAGCCCAGTTAGTTCAGAAAATGGAGCCAAGGAAACCGCACCCTCCCCTTTGCGTCCATGTTCTTACTGTGTAAGGTCTGGAAGCTGCATCCACCTCTCTGCTAAGGAGATGCACAGAACATGTCACTGTTTTTCTCAACGTTAAAGTTTCATTACCTTGTTTTTCTTATTAATTCTATTCTATTTATTATTCCGCCAGGGCTGAGATGTGACAATGTGAGCCACCACATTGGGTCACATCAGCTAGAAAAAGTATGCAGCATTAAAGTGGGTTTCCCCCTCCCTTCCCTCTCTTTCTCTCTCTTCTTTCTCCCTTCCCCTCCTTGTTCTCCTTCTCCTCGTCTTCCTTTCTTTCTCTGTCGCTCTCTTTCTATTCAGTATCCATGTGGGCATTTGCTAGCCGCCCATAAATTATATTTCTCTGCATTTTCCTCTCTCTTTCTCTCTTTTTCTCTCTCTCTTTTTTACCTATTTTGCATGATGTTTGTGACTCTGAGAGCTGCATCTATCGATGGAACCGTGTCAGATCTTAAAGAGGCTTCGTTAGGGTTTCTATACCCGAAAACCACAAAAATTTCATTAGAGTTTCTCATCTTTTCCACACTCCTTCTCGCTCCAGGGGGACTGCCTCCCCCTGGACGGTTCTCACACGCAGGCACTAACTAAATTCTGTCCCGCTCCGGGGACTCCCTCTCCTCCCTTTTTTACATTTTTGCCTCTTTCCTTTTCGAGTGGCGTCTCTCTGGCATTTGGGGATGCGATACTTCTCCCTTTGTTGGATTCTCTGGGTCCAACATGGCAAAATCTTGAGAAGTTTCCATCTCCATGCCAGCCTTCTCCTCGCCGCCGCCACCCCACCTCTGCAGCATCCCTCGGGCACAGTGTGTCCGGTGGGAGAGGTCCCCTCTCCGGAGACGGAGACGGCGCCTGGACCGTTTCAGGCCGTGGTGGTGGAGGGCTGGTTTGGTTTTCCATGGAAGAAGGTGATAAGGGAGTTGGACTCCACTGGAAAAGGGGAGGAGCAGTTTTCCCGGGGCGCGGAGCGGGGAGCTGGGGGCCCCAGCGGCTGTGGAGGAGATTTTTCGACGCTCGCCATGCCAGCTCTTGCCAGTAAAGATGAGAAATTGCTAATAAATTTTTGTGTATTTATCTGTGCTGTGATGGGTCTAATCTTGATCAATGGAACCCTGTTGCTATGAAATATCGCTTTTATGTCTATATTCTATATATTGTTTGTGAAGTAAAAATTTATTTGAAGTTTCATTTTTTTGGTTTTTGGTTTTTGATTTTTTAATTTATTTGTTTTTCGTTTTGTTTTTAATGAAGGAAGAAAATAAATGATGACAAACCCCATCTATATTTAAATTATCTTTTGCTCTTTTTTCTTTTTCTCCCTTTTCTTCTTTTTCTTTTCTTTCTTCTTGTTTTGGTTTTTTTTTTTTGTTTTGTTTTGTTTCGTTTTGTTTTGTTTGTTACCTCTGTGCGTCTCGTCCACAGTTCGCCGTGTGGCCCCTCGCTTCTCCATCTTACCCGTCAGCCATGAAATCATGCCCGGAGGCAACGTCAACATCACCTGTGTGGCCGTGGGTTCGCCCATGCCATACGTCAAGTGGATGCAGGGAGCGGAGGACCTGACGCCTGAAGATGACATGCCTGTGGGCCGTAATGTCTTGGAGCTCACGGATGTCAAGGACTCAGCCAACTACACGTGTGTGGCCATGTCCAGTCTGGGAGTCATAGAAGCCGTTGCTCAGATCACGGTGAAATGTAAGAGAGTGTGAGCACGCTTGCGTGAGCGAGTGCGTGGGTTCCCCGACTGTGCACGTTTGGAGGAGCGTGCATGCACAAGCGTGTGAGCTGCCGCATGGGTGTGTATACGTGCAAGGCACGTGTTGGGGACACGGTCGTCACAGAGCGTCCGAGCACGCGTGCAAAGCCAACGTGAGCACATGGCGTGTTTATGCATGTGAGCATGTGGAGGTACATGGTCGTGCCTGTCAGCCCTCACCAGTGCATGAGTGGGAATGTCGCCGTGTCTGGGGGGGGGGGGGGGGGCTGTACCTGTTTCTGCTTGTGTCTATGTCTGTCTGCATGGGGTGAGCCTGTGACTGTCTGGTCTGCGCATGAGGAGTGCGGGGACGCAATCATGCATGTACAGAGGTAGTCGTGCATGAGTGCGCGTGTGTGCACGGGAGGAGGAGCAGCGTGGCTGTATGGGCATGCGGGTGCCTGACCGCATGTATGTAAGACCGTGTTGTTCCAAGCCTGTATGTACACGCCTGGGTATGGGAGCATGAGCAGGAAGACAAACTTGTGCACCGTGAGCGCCATGCGCTGGGATCTGTGCATGCGTCTTTGGGGATCCCACACACAAAGAAATCCGCAGGGAAGGGGAAGCTGGTGGCTTGAGATCTTCCCTCACTTTAGGACAACTGAGCTGTTTGTTATGAAGAAAACTGTGATTCAAACCCCTGCATGCTTGTTTCTGTCCTGGGATGTGAGGCTGGCTGGGCAGTTTGCAAGGAGCTTTGGATGGCTTGAAGCCTGCATGCCATCCTGTTCCAAGGTTAGAGATTCAGCCAAGGCCCTGAGGATCTCTGGCATGCGTGCCCTTGCAGTAGAGCCTAGTTCCAGCATCTTAGTGGCCGTTGTTGCCTCAGCAAGAGGGGGAATAACCCCAGCTTCCAGCTAGCAATTCCCAAGAGGAGCACGGGTGCAATCTTCAATCTATTCTGTCCTCAGCAGGGGAGTATTAAAACCCAAGCGGGATGCCCCTGTGGTTGGGTGAGTGTAGAGCTCTTTGTATGAGCTGGTGTCTGCTCTGAGTGCTGGCGTTGCCCATGAGGGATCTGGGGGGTGATGGGGTGGGAAAGGATGCGGGCGGGTGGGGGAGAGGAGGAGAAATACTTTGGAGAAGGGGAGGGCTAAAGAAAAACAATCCTGTTGTATCAGTGCATCCACCTAAGGAAGGTCTGACAGTAGAAATGAGTAGGGACTAGTGAATCCTGACACGACACTCATCCTGAGCTTTGGCACAGGGAGTGGGCTCACGTGCTAGCAGAAGGATGCCTGGGGCTGGACTGAGGTGCTCTTTATTTTCCCGAGTATTTTCTTCCTTCCCCTTTTTCCCTGTCTTATACTATCAATTTAAAAAGCTGCTGTGTAAGATACATTGCTTCTGCTTCCAACTATTCCATCTCCTCAGATGGGGAACCTTGCCCTGCTGGTACCTTCTGCCTTTTGTCATTTTACTTGTATTCTGTTCCCCCCTATGTTCCTGCATGTAAGCATCCGCAATCTTTCCCAGTCACAAGATGAAAGGAGAACTTAGAGCTTTAGAGGTGCTTGAGTCTAGAGAAGATGAGGTTGGAAAGGGTCTAAAGTGTGTAGTGAGGAAAACACGTAAAGCTTGCTGTTAACGGTGTCCAACACGTAGCATGCAGTCTCCAGCAAGCTCCAGAGCTCGGGATGAGGGACGGGGAGATGAAGCATTAACACGCATTTGTGGCTTGAGAGGAAGCACTCCCAAGTATTTACAGTTTTGTAGTTCTGGAGAGCGCAGTCCTCTCTATACCGGTACCTGCACGCTAAACGCGGGGAGACTCAGCAGTGCCGGAGCGGGGCTGCCAGCGCTGTTGCAGAAGACTGGATGATGTGCTCGGAAGGAGCTCTTGCAAAACGGCTTTTGCTTGCTGCCGTGTGAGCCGGCGGATGTGCAGCTGAAGTCTGTGCTAATGATTCCAGATGTTTAGCTGAACACTTTCCTTTTGATGGAGCAGTTTAAGGAGGATAATAGTGTGTATAACTAGGTTCATAATATTTCAGCAGCACTTTGCTGAACTGCCGCGCTGTGATGGGTACTGTGCCTCTGGCTCCTACAGCCCTAACTAGCCCAATTAGGCACCATTTCAGCATATGTGGGTTTTTTTAAAATGTCTGTTCTTCCTGATTCTCAGCACTCCCCAAGGCTCCTGGGACGCCAGTGGTGACAGAGACGACAGCAACAAGTATCACCATCACCTGGGACTCTGGAAATCCAGACCCTGTGTCCTACTATGTCATTGAATACAAGTCTAAAAGCCAGGATGGACCATATCAGATCAAAGAAGACATCACCACCACACGCTACAGTATTGGGGGGCTCAGCCCCAACTCTGAGTATGAGATCTGGGTCTCTGCAGTCAACAGCATTGGGCAGGGGCCTCCCAGCGAGTCAGTGGTCACTCGCACTGGGGAACAAGCTCCTGCCAGTGCCCCTCGTAATGTGCAGGGACGAATGCTGAGCAGCACCACCATGATCATCCAGTGGGAGGAACCAGTGGAGCCCAATGGGCAGATCCGTGGCTATCGCGTGTATTACACCATGGAGCCCGATCAACCCGTCAGCAACTGGCAGAAGCACAACGTGGATGACAGCCTCCTGACCACGGTGGGCAGCCTTCTCGAGGACGAAACCTACACAGTCCGGGTCCTGGCCTTCACCTCCGTGGGAGACGGGCCTCTTTCCGACCCCATCCAGGTTAAGACGCAGCAAGGAGGTGAGCAGCTGTGTCACTAACCTTGGGTGCACGGGGCTGCAGGAGGGAGAGGTGTTGGCCTAGAGCATTATCCAGCTGTGGCTGCCAGGTCGCCAGAGCATTTTTTTCTTTATTGATTCAATTTAGTTAAAATAGAAGTAACCTTCTGGGAAGAAGCTCGGTCCAGTGGCTGGAGCCAGAGGGCCTGGTGCATGATTTCTGATCTGTTTTTTTCTCGGAAAGGTTGTTGCTTAAGTGGGTGGGGCAGGCAATTACAAAAAGAAAATCCATTTCTGCTGTGCCATGTTTCAAAGTGAGCTATCTTATTGCTTCCAGTTTCTAGATGTCTTTAATAGACCTAAAAACACTCACTGCCCAGGCAGTGGTGAAGCTTAGCACATCTTCAAGTACCCAGAAACTACTTTCTCAGAGATGAGTGGGAAATGAGCCTTATTTTGCCTTTTTCTAAAAAAAAAAAAAAAAAAAAAAAAAAAAAAGCCCTAATTGTCACAGCAGATATGTTGAGCTAAGAACAAAAGGTGTCTTATCACAGGGTGTCACCCAGCGTGCTTTCAGGTGCTCTGCTTATGGCGCGGGGTGCTGGTGAGGAAACCCTGCGTCCTCAACGGGCTGCCCACTTCCAGAATCTTTTAATACTGGGGATTAGTGGGAAGGGCTCTATTCTGCACTGCCAAGAAAGAGGCATGTAATTCCAGTAGGACTCTTCCATCTTCAGCAGCTCTGGACATGCTCGAGTCCTGTGGTGGGATTTAACCCTCCTCTGCTTTAAAGGAAGGGCCTGCCCGCTCTGCAGCATGGCACTGTGCTGCTGCCGTGCTCTTCACACACAGGCTTTGAAGAAAACAGGCGCTGTGGTTTAACCCCACAGGCAGCTGAACACCACGCAGCCCTTCGCTCGCTCCCCGGTGGGATGGGGGAGAGAATCGGGGGGGTGGGGGGGAAGTAAAATTCACGGGTTGAGATAAAGACAGTTTAATAGGACAGAAAAGGAAGGGAAAATAATAATAATGGTAATGGCAACAGAATATACAAAATAAGGGATGCACAATGCAACTGCTCACCACCCACTGACTGATGCCCAGCCGGTTCCTGAGCAATGGTCACCCCCCCATACCAAGTCCCCCCAGTCTATATACTGGGCATGACGTCATATGGTCTGGAATCCCCCTTTGGCCAGTTGGGGTCAGCTGTCCTGGCTGTGCCCCCTCCCAGCTTCTCTCTGGCAGAACCTAAGAGGCTGAAAAGTCCTTGACTAGTGTAAGCCCTGCTCAGCAACAACTAAACCATCAGGGTGTTACCAACATTCTTCTCATACTAAACCCAAAACAGTGCTGTGCCAGCTACTAGAGGAAAAAAATTAACTCTATCCCAGTGGAAACCAGGACAACGGGGTAGGAGTCTTCTCATTAGCCAAGTTCACGTGGTTTCTCCTGTCTCTCATCTTGCCTCCTCTGCCCTGTCGGCTCCTTCTCTCTGTCAGTTCCTGGGCAGCCGATGAACTTCCAAGCAGAAGCCAAGACGGAGACGAGCATCGTGCTGTCGTGGAGCCCTCCCCGCCAGGAGATCATAGTGAAGTATGAGCTCCTCTATAAGGAAGGAGACCGCGGCAGGGAGGTGAGTCTGGAGAGGAGCAGCACGAAGGGTTGGGGCCCCGAGGAGCACCCTCTGTTCCCCAAGCTGGCTGAGAGAGGGGAATAGGGCCGGTGTCTCTGGGCAGGGCTCGCCTCTGCTCCTTTTTGTTTGTTTTTATTTTTTTTCTTCCCCCTTGCCCATCCCAGGTGCCGAAGAACTTCGAGCCAACGACCTCCTTCACTGTGGAAGGCCTGAAGCCCAACACTGAGTATGTCTTCCGGCTGGCTGCCCGCTCGGCTCTGGGCCTGGGGGCCTTCACCCCGGAGGTCAGAGAGCGCACCTTGCAGTCTAGTAGGTGTCTCTCCTTTTCCCACCCTTCTCTGAGGGGAAGACAGTCAGGGAGCCAGAGATGGTGGGCACAGGGGTACGGAGCTGTGGGGCGGACGTTCGCGGTGCTGCGGCGTTTCACACCTCTGGGGTTCCTCAGCAGGGAGGCGGATGGGGAGGTGATGGGGGACAGACATACACGCCTCTGGGACCTGCTGCCCTCTCCCTTTGCTGACCCAGATAGATGAGATGGGAACGAAGAGCGGAGCTGGTGCATGCTGTGGTGGGGGTGGCGGGAGGCCAGGTAGCATCGTCCACTTGGTGGGGTGGGGAGCAGGGAAGAGCTTGTGGATGGGCGCTGGCCCTTGGTGCTGAGCATGCTCAGGGAGGACGGCACCCCACCGCCGTGCAGCAGCTTGCCCGTCCACCAGCAGAAACTGAGCAGCAGCTGTCGGAAGGGGGGCACAAGCAATGGAGCAGGGAGATGGTGGGGGAATCGGGAGGAAGAGGAGAAGGGAAGGTGGTTAACCAAAAGTCCGATGTTTTCACCAGCCTTTGGGAAAGCAGTCCTCATGTTCTTTTCCATGAGCGACTTCGTAGCTGTGGGGAGGAAAGCCTGCTGGCCCAGCGAGCGCTGGGAATGGTCCCATTTGGGCTCCAGCAGAGCGGGAGAGAGGAGTCATGTGGAGGCTGTGGGGGAGATATTAATGACACCAGGATGGAGCGTATGCAACCAAAATGTGCTGGTTTTAGTTTAATGGATTGTCTCCCTTCACTGTTGCCCTGGGGACAATAACCCTGGATGGCAATATTTCAACCTGGGCTTTTCACAGATCTTTGCTTTTAAATGAGGTGTTTTTTCACTGCATGAGTGGCTGTGGCAGCTGTTCTTCGTGTTTTCTGTCTCCTCTCATCTCTACTAAATCACTCCGCTGCAGTTTGGAGTAGCCGGGAGCAGAACTAACTCAGAAATGGCTCTGGTCACCAGTGTGAGGAGAGCGAGCGCCTGCTCCCATCTCTCAGAGTCCTTAACAAGGGAGAGCAGCGGGCTCGCGGCTGGGCGCCTGCCCCATCTTTCCCCTTGGATTTGTTCAGGCTTTTTTTCCTCTCTTTCCCTGTCTCTCTCCTCCTCTTTCTCTCCCCCCAGGAGTGGGAGGAAAGGGGAGTCTGCTTCTGCATAGACAGAATTCCTTACTGGGGCTTTCTCAGGCCTCCAGTCCATTCAAAGATATTTTGTTTTCTTCTTTCCTTCAAATGTTTTTCCCCTTTTTTCCTTTTATTTTTTTTTTTCTTTACTCTCTCTACATATCGAAAGAAAATCCTTTCCTGACTCTGCTGCACATCTGCTGGTTCTGATCCCAGTATGGTACTGACAGAGGGAGCATCACTGGGGGGGATGAAAACGAACTGAAAGGACCTGAAAAATAAGTGTCAAACTTACACTCTGCTTCTGTTTTCCAAGGGGTTTCCCTCCTTGAGATCCATGGGGATGGGAGGAGAAGAGGGTCTGGGATTTGTGCTTTCTGGTTGGATAAAAACAGGCTGGAAGAAGGGTGTGGGAGCTGATGGCAGTAGGGCTCAGTGACGCTGAAAATTTGTCCCTAAAGGGTGAAGAGAAGGGGATCTGGGAAAGGGGAAGGCTTTGGGGCTTTTTCTAACTTGGCACCTGCCCAGAATGAGGCCTGGTTTATTTCTCTGTAGCTCAGCTTTCATAGGGATAGATTCATTAATTTAACGCTCTTAAGAACATCAGCTGGGAGCTGTCAGTGTCCTGTAACACGGTGAAACATTTTTTCCTGGCTGGCTGTTGGAGGAACGAGTCAATTCTCCCTGGTGCGGGCGGCATCCTTCGGCTCACAGACCTTCTGGCTCGGGACAGGCTTTTGTGTCTTCCCTCTGCAGCTCCTTGTCCGTTCAGCTCCTCCTTGGCCCGCTCCATGGCTCTTCTTTCTTTTCTCTTCTGCTGTCTGCTTGCCTGCCTGCATGCTCTCGCAGCCCGATGAAACCAGCTCCCCGCTCTCTGTCTGTCTGTCTCTTGCTGGGCGGTTTCACACCAAGATGGCATCTTGTCTCTGCAACGGCAAAGCCTCCTTCGTCCTCCCGCAGCCTGCCGAGGCGTTCGGTGCTCTTCCCCTCCTAGCTCAAGCTGGCAAGCATGTGCCTGCATGCCGCAGCCCTCCCTGCATTGCACACCTTTCTGCACAACACCCTCCACCTCCCTCTCAGGGTGGCTCCTCCTGAGCATCATAACCAAAGTAAAATCCATTAAACTAAAGGTAAAGTATCTTTTTCTTCTTGAAGTAGCTGGGTTTTAACTCTTCAAGTACCAGAGACGTAGATTGTGAAAATAACAGAATCTCATGGTTGGAGGAAGCTGGTTTGCCCTTTCTAACTAGCCATGACCTTCCCAGGGCTCCTTGGCAACTCTCCTACTCAGAAATGGCAGAGTGCAAAGCACATGTCGACGGACAAGGGTGGCAGGGTGGGTGCTGTGAGGCTGCATGTGCAGGTGTAGAGGAACATCGGGGCTTTCTTACCCTCAGTTCCTTCCTAAGAAAGGATGTTTCCCCCACCCATTAGCTCTGCTCTCCTTCCCTTCCCCCTTCCTCACAGTATATGAAGTGAACAAAACCTATACAAAGTCTATGGTACCTAAAGGGTTAAAAAACATTGTATTGTACAAGGTCAGTAAGGGTCATTCTTGTGGCTTGGACAGTCAACTTTAAAGCATGTAAAAGATGCAGTTCAGGTGAGTACTGGCTGGTCTCAAGCGGATTCACAAATACAGTCCACCCTGTCGCTGCAGGCTCACACACACGTGCGTGGGTCTGCACGCAGTCATGTACGTCCTGGAGCCCGTGGGCGGGCTGGGAGGGGTTCCCAAAAAGCTGTCTGCCTGGTAAAAACAGACCAGCAGACAAAGATGATGGTCTGCTGGCCGGCGGGGGGGGTTTCTTGCCTGTGCTGTGGCTCCCTTTCCAGCAAAGGGGCTCGTTGCAGAGGTGAGTTCAAGCCTCCAGTTTGGGCTGCAGTACTTTGCCTCCTTGCATACAGCTTCCACCTTCTCGATGCTGTCCCCACGCGTGCACGCACGTCTCCAGGGTCACGCAGGTTGGGCTGGATTGTGAAGGAAACTCACAGTGCCATGAACTCCCCAGATGCGTCTCCAGTATGGCCAGCCAGCACTTGGTGGCTGTTTTCATCCAGGTGCTGTAGTCGAGAAGAGTGACGGGGAGGGGGGGCCGGGTGGGATCTGGGCCTTCTCCCCCATCACCCACCCACCCTGTCTTTTTGACCAGAGAAAGTGCAAACCATCCCAAAAGGAGGCCTCGCTCCAGGGCCTCTCGGTAGGTCCCTGTGCTGGAGCGTAGAGGGTGAGTGAGCAAGCGAGCGTGACCACGCGCAGCAGCTGCCAGTGCAAACAGTGAACCCAAGTGCCTGCTGGAGCTCCGGCTCTGCTTACTGGGGCTTTCATAATGAGGTTCAGGATGGAAAGGGTAGGTCAGGTCAGACCCTCTCTGCAGTGGGTTTCTCAGCCGTGGTGGCTTTGGCTAGACTGCTAAGCAGGAAAGGTGGCTTTTAACGCTACCAGCCCCTGATGGGGAGGAAAAAGAAGCGAACAGCATCATGGCAGGCACTGGAAGAGGGTTGAGTCTTTTCCTCCATGCCCTGAAAGGGACTTGAGTTGCTTCTGGGGTGTGGGAAGGAGCAGTGCACCTCCATTCTGGAGATGTTGGTGCTGCGTCCATCCCAGGAGATGGAGAGAGCTGTGGGGGCAAGGAGATCCGTCAGCGGGAATCTGCCGCCCTGCTCTCTGGTCTCTCTACAGGCAGCTTAGCAAAAGGAATAGACTGGGGTCCAAAATTGCTGTTCCTGCAATACCTCGGGTTCTGCTGGCAGCGGGGGAGTGACTCAGTCGGGGGAGCTCGCCGTGGGGCAGGGCGGCGTTTTGAAAGCCAGTCATGTGCAGAAACCCACCAGGAGCTTGGTCTGGCCTCGTAGCTCAGTTTCTCTTGTTCTCTCGTAAGAAAGTCTTATAAATTAGCAGTTGAAGCGTGGAAGGTAGGTAAACAGACTGGGAATGTTCTGGAAGGAGTCACTTTTTATATCAGCATTATTTTATTATTATGATTTCCTTTCTGATATTTATTATTTTAAATTACTGGCTTGATTTATGTTTTATTTTCCAGTTTGTTACTTTTCATTTTGTTTGTTTGACATATTTTGTATTATTTTGCGTGGCTAGCCATGGCCCCGGGGACCGTCACCCTCTGCAGTGGGATTTCTGAGGCTAAGGGTTGCATTCTGCCATTTAAATACGGCCAAAGTGTAGCGATAAAGCGTGAAAGTAGGAGGACAACACCCAGCATGTCCTAGTGGCCAGAGTGCTCAGCACTGCGGTGTAAGGACCGGCTTTACCCTGTCTGCAAAGCCCTCTGATTTCTGGTTGATGGAGCCATCCACAAAGCACGTGGCGTTCACTCCAGTGTGAACTGGGAAAAGTGTGACTTGATTTAGCAGAGTCCTCAAGGCAAGCAGGGCCTAAACTTCTGTTTGTGACTCAGGGATGGGAGTGAGAGGTTTGAAAAAAAAAATCATTCCTTGGGAAAAGAGCTTTTTGTTGATTGAAAAGCAACAGAGAAGTGAGAAACGGTGACGAGCGTTTATCTGCTCCCTTGCTTCTTGCAGGTGATGCTTTGGGGGGCTCACAGGGACCCCCCCAGTTTCTGGCAGCGTCTGCAGAGAGTTAAAAGCTATTTATTGCAGCTTGACTGTACTGGCTGAGATTGGATTTGCAGATTTACCTTGAAAATCTATCACACTCTGCTTACCTGGGCTGATTGATTGTAATTCGTGATTGAAGAAGCCTGGTCTGAGATTTCCCAAAGCGCCCAGCTTGCAGCTGGGGCACACAAGTGGCAGACTCGTGGTCCAGATTGCACCAAGGCCTCAGACCCGGGGCATCTCCATCGACAACCCCGTGTCTCTTGCAGTTCTCCCTGTCTCTCAGGGCATGGCCGTGGCACAGCCGTGTGTGCCCCAGCACGTGGTGTCTGACGGGGCCGGTGTCAGCGTCCTGCTTCCCGCTGAGCAGAGCACGCTACAAATCGCCTACGGCAGCTCAGCAACCACCAAAGGGAGCAGCCCTGCGCTAGAAAGCTGTGGTTTACACCTTCCCCATGAAAATCATACACCTTTCGCCCTGCAAATCAGCCCCTCAGACAGTTGTCTGCTGCCACCGTGAGAACGTGCGGCTGCGTAGGGCCACGTTTCCGAAGGTGTCCTCCTGGGACGTTCAGAAATAACCTTGACGGAGTTTAGGCAGTGAGTGCAACGGGAGTTAGAGCTGCTGCTGCGTCTGGAAATCCCACCGGGTACCTGGATACCTTGGCCAAACCTGCTGCCTCGCTCCTTTGCAAGTCTTGTCTCTAAAACCCTCCAATCTAAACACACTGCGGGCTCATTGCTTGGCAATATCCTGGGCATGACCGCCATGGTTTTTCACCTCCTTCAATTTGTGGACAACTAATGACTTCCATCTGGAGGTATAGACTCTTAAATTTAAGCCTCCTGGCAAAAGATTTGCTTTTCTGACTTACTTTTCACAGTTCCCTTCAAAGAAATTCAAGATCCCAGAGACTGCAGTTTGGAAAAAAGTACTTTACCAGGGCAGGATTTGCCAGACTGCTGTAAAACAGGGAGCTAGAGGAAGGGTCTTTTATAGGGTCAAGCTGGGTGCTGAGGTTTGTGCCAGCCACACTTGCTAAAAGCAGCAGGACCCCTCTTGGCTAGCCCGCTTGCTGTTTTAGTCTTTTGCTTTCTAACATTTCGGTTTTGATGCCCCATTTCATTTCTGTTGGCTTTTTTTTCTTTTCATTTAAAAAAAAAAAAAAAAGACAACAACAAAAAGCTCTCTTCTTTTTTAATTTTATCTTCCTAAACCAAATTTTTGTATGTTTTATTTTAGATTTTTTTGTTATCATTTTCCTTTTTTTTTTCTTTTATCTTTCCCATCTTTTGTTTTTTCCCCCTTCTTCCCTTTCCCTCCTGAATTTTCCCCCCTCGTAGAACCGTCTGCCCCCCCTCAAGACGTAAAATGCGTCAGCACCAGATCCACCGCCATTCTGGTAAGTTGGCGGCCGCCTCCGGCTGAAAGCCAAAATGGCGTCCTGGCTGGATACAGCGTCTACTATCGAGCACTGGACTCTGAGGACACGGAGCTTAAGGAGGTGAATGATATCCCCCCAACCACCAGTCAGATCCTACTGGAGTCCCTGGAGAAGTGGACAGAGTATCGCATCACTGTCGTGGCTCATACGGAGGTGGGGCCGGGCCCGGAGAGCTCGCCGGTTATCGTCCGGACAGATGAAGATGGTAATTGCACTTTTTCTGGTTTTCTCCTGAGTCCCCTGGTGAATACGTGTCCCTGGAGGGGGCTTTTCCCGCGCCGGGGAGGACGTGTCGAGTCCCTTCTCGTGGCTGATGGGTGGTGCAAGAGCAAAGCCCCAGTGGGGCCTCAACACCGCCTCCGGTCCGAGACCTGCAGCATCCTGCGCTGCCATCTCCCTGAGCCCCTCTGAGCGTTAGGGTCTGTAGGCTTGTCCTTCCCTGCTCTAGGGTTGTTTTTTGGGGATTTCTGGATGTGGTTTTTTTTTTTAATGTCAAGCCTCTGGGCCTTGACTGCACCACTTTTCCTGAAAAGATGCTTTTACTGAGCAGGGAAGCAGCTGAGGCAGCAAGGAAATGAAACCAGAGATGAGCAGATGATTGCTGCCAGAAGCTGTTTTAAAATACTGAGAGTTCTTCCCACACATTCCTCATTATTAGCTCCTTTTTTAAGTCAAAGTTTTGGTTAGTGGTAAAAAGGAAGAATCTTTTTCTTAAAGTTTCAATAAACCTGTAGTAACAAACAGTTTAGACTCCAGTTCAGTGGCCCAGCTCGGAGACTTCTTAGCACAAACACAGACAACAAGACTTGAACTTTCCTGGTATTTTTACTACAGTAAAATAAAACCAGAAAAAAATATGAATGTGTGCATGAAGGGAGAGCACCCTCACTGTGAGGGTGACCTCAAATAATATAGGTCAAGTCAATAACATAAGTAAATTCCAAACTTCTTCAGGCTTTCTTTCACCATCCCAAATAAAAAGATTTTTTTTAAAAGCAACAGGTTTGTCCCCAATGTGGGTCCTGTTGCCCTGAGCATCTGCCCACATCCAAATGGACAGAATTGCTCAAGAGAGAGTATGGGTTTCTTGCAGATGAGGCTGTCATGCACTGTATCGTCATTATTATTATCTCCAAAAATTCAGCCCGAATTCCATCCAAGACCTCTCTTGTTTCCTGTCCTGAGATTAAGCAGCAGCTGTAACCACCAACCCCCCCGCCCTGCCCAAGAGACGAGGGCACTCCAAGGGCAAGTCCCCCTCCGCACCCTCTCCACCCTAACGTCCCACAGGCAGGACCAGAGCATTTCTGGCTCATTAGAAATTGCCTTTGCCCTCAGAATGTGATCTGGAACCATTTGCTTTCTTCCATCTGAGCAAACTGGGGACAAAGGAGCCTGTGGAAGAATGGCTGGACTATGAGATGGACCCGTTCCCATGCGTATCTCCAAGCCATGCAGATTAGATCCCCCAGAACCGCTTCCCTGTTTCACTGAATAAAGACCAGTGGCAGATGATGGGATGTCTGGTTTGTTAAGTCTCCCCCTCCTTCCAGGGCTGTAGATTCAGTGTGCGCACGTCCCATGGGTGAAGTGACAGGCTCCAGATAGAAATCCCCAAGTGCTCTTACCCCTCTCTTCCCTTCCTCGCAGTGCCCAGTGCGCCGCCTCGGAAAGTGGAGGTGGAGGTCCTGAACTCAACTGCAATCCAAGTGTTCTGGCGCTCTCCAGTCCAGAACCGCCAGCATGGCCAGATTCGCGGCTACCAGGTCCACTACGTACGCATGGAGAATGGAGAGGCCAGGGGGCTGCCCCAGATCAAGGATATCATGCTGGCTGATGCCCAGGTAAGGACTCACCTCTTACTCCAACCTCCTCTCATGGAAGGTTTGAGGGGGTGGGTGCTCCAGCCGCCTTGTCCCATCCCAAGCAACATAATGCTGGAGAAAGTAGATGAGTGTCGCTATGACAAGGTATATGTTGTCTTTCTGCAGTTCATTTGCACTCCCAGACAGTAGCTATTGCGGAAGAGTGTGAACTGCTGTCCCAGCACTGAACTAAATACCGTCCATCCTCCCTGTGTCTGGGAAGTCTTTTAAGACAGGCAAAGGCCACAGTGGAATCTACTAATTTCTCCCACTCTACTTCTTCCTTCATGCTGGCCTGGTAACTTCTGACCTTGTGTGGCTGCTTGCTCAGGGCCTCCTTCCTCATGCTGTGTCTCTGTCTTTCCCTTCTTTCCCCTCTTGTATTCTCATGTGCAAAACCTCTCTTGTTCTCTGCCCAGTGGGAAACAGATGACACTGCTGAATACGTAAGTAAAAAAGTAAAAATCCTCCCATCCTGGTTCTGTCCCTTCCCTTCTCCCACTTCCTGTTGTGGTGTGATATTTTCCTTTTCCTTTATTTTTTTTTGCAGTGCCAGTGTGCCTGTTTTAAAGCCTGTTGTTGGTGTTCCCATGCGTTGTCCCTGCCGTCTTCACTTTGCTCTGTGATTGCGTAGTTTGTCAGCATGCAGCAACACTGCAGGGTTTTCCCCTCGGCTCTGAAGGAAGGATGAGTCTGCTGCTCCTCCGTGGGGAAGCAGATGGGACATTCAGGGTGGGACTACCTTCAACGTAAGCTTAAGGATGGGCTGGTCTGCAAGCACCTCTGGTTTGTGTCTGAAGAGCGTAGTGAGGCTGAGAAGCATTGGGTTTTCAAAGCCCTGTAAGTCCTAAGTTATCAGGGCACGAACAAATGCTTTGCGCCCTTAGCGGGCCAAGATTCTTAGATACTTGTTGATACAAAGCACTAAATTGCTATTGGCACTTTCACCTTTTAAGTAGACCTTAAAATCAGCTTGGCTGTTGGCCATTTGGTAGTTCCGCTAAAAAGCTAAATGTTTCCTCTGACAGCTACAAAGCAGTAGGAGAAAGCATTTCCTTCTTGGAATGGCAGGGGCCCAAGATAATGCACTGCTAAATTGAATGTATTCGTGCCTCCTAGAGATTTCCAAGGGCCCTACGAAAGTGAGGGGCCTCTCTTTTACAGATGGAGAAACTGAGTCGCGTGAAAGAGAATGTCTCTTGCCTAAAATCTTAATAAAGCTCAGCGGCAAGTGTGGAAGCAGAGCAGGTTTCTTGACTTCTAGAAGACAGCCCTGTCTCTGTGGCTAATGGCTTCCAAACCTGTTGATCAAATTTGCGCTGTTTTGAAGTTCTGGCGTTCCGCTCCCTGCTCAGCTTTGGGGGCAATGCAGATATTTTCAGGACCAGCAAATTCTTCCCAAGTGCCGCCCCGAGGTTTAACGTTGAAAGCACAAAGGGGCAGTGGGGGGTGAGGGGAGAGGAAGGCCATAAAAAGTGCACAACGTTGACGTCTCCCTCCTTTTCAGGGCCTTGGAGAAAACCCTGTTGCATATGCTCTCATCCTGTTTGATTTAGCACGGGGATTCCTTTTCACAACACAGCCCCTTGAAGGGCTGAATTCTTTATGGGAAAGGTCTGTTCTTGAGGCCGGTCTTGTGGCAAAAGCTCTTGGGAGCCAGGTGTGGTGAGGCTGATAGAGGATGGAGGGTGTTGGGGATTTAGCAGAGAGCTTTAGCATGCAAGCAGAAAATGTCGTCTTGCACTTTGCGTTAAAGCAATCCCTTTAATATTATGAAGGCATTAAAAAATATCTCTGAGGAGAGAAGGGAGGGGGGTAATGGAGAAAAAAATGTAATCTCCTTGAAACCGCTGAGACCTCCTCTGAGACGGCATAGTGGAGAGGAACGCTTTGAAGAGCGCAACAGCGTTTTGATGGCTGAAGCAGTTGTGTTGAGATAGGGGATGTGTGAGAGAGAGATCTGGAAGGGAATGCATCGAACCAGAGCCCTGCAGAGGCTTGCTGTGTTTACAGAGGGACTGTGAGCAGCTGGGGCATGCGTGCCTCTCCCTGAGGGAATGTCGCGCTCATCCTCTGGCCCATTGCCACATCTACCCAGTTGCCCCAGAGTGTCTCATGGTTTCAGATTCAATGAATGTTCCTGCATGCTAGAAAGGGGCTGAGACTCCTGCGAGGAGGAGAGATCTACCCGTGTGTATGTACCTGAATACTTACATGATTTTCCTTTGGAATCTCGCAAACAGGAGATGGTCATTGCTGGGCTCCAGCCTGAGACTGCATATTCCATTACCGTAGCCGCCTACACCATGAAGGGAGATGGTGCTCGCAGCAAACCAAAAGTGGTCACCACGAAGGGTGCAGGTAAGAGTCTTTCTGAACTGTTGGGATTCACCAGTTTCCTAAAGCCGGGAAGCTCTTTCTCCAGACTCAGCTTCTTTCATCCCACTCCCTTCATGAAGGACAGACTTGCAGCAAATGCCATGCTGCCCCAAAGAGAAAATTCATAGAATCATAGAATCATAGAATGTTTCGGGTTGGAAGGGACCCCTAGAGGTCATCTAGTCCAACCCCCCTGCAGGAGCTAACTAGATCAGGTTGCTCAGAGCCCTGTCCAACCTGGCCTTGAATGCTTCCAGGGATGGGGCCCCCACTACCTCTCTGGGCAACCCCTGCCAGGGTTTCACCACCCTCATTGTAAAGAATTTCTTCCTTATATCTAGTCTAACCTACCCTGGTTTAGTTTAAAACCATCCCCCCTTGTCCTGTCACAGCTGGCCCTACTAAAAAGATTTTCCCCATCTTTCCTATAGGCCCCCTTTAGGTACTGAAAGGCCGTAATCAGGTCTCCCCGCAGCCTTCCCTTCTCCAGGCTGAACAAGCCCAACTCCCTCAGCCTGTCCTCATTATTAAAATTATTAAAATTATTTCTTGTAAGGCAGAAACCCCTTCATTCCTTACAGGTAGCCCTCACTAAATGAACATAATTTTCTGTCCAGTGCTGCAGAAAGCCCAGACACACCCAGAAATGCAACAGAGGATGAATTCATTGCTTGTAATCTCTGGTGCTGTAACTTCCAGTGCACCAGAAGCAAAGCCTGGTCTGAGACTGTGTAGCTTTGGTGGTTGGCACACACAGGTACCCTGGGGAACAGGAGAGCCAGAGGTCTGCTGTCATGGTGTTGACTTGCAAAGATCTGAAAAGCAGCAGGAAGACAGTGGTGGCTCATAGTGCCCACTCTTCTAGTGTCGTGTCTGAATATACGTCCCTTCTGCGCTCAGGACTAGCAGAGGGGAAAGTACTGACAGTATTGACCTTTCCTCGTGAGCATTTCTGGGACGTGGGCTCTCTCTGCACATACCACCCAGATCCATTCCTCCCTTCAACCTATTCTTCATGGCAAAGCGTCTGTCAGCCTCCGTGCAGGATGACTTGGGTGCGGTGCCAAGCTAGGGTGGCAGGGCCTAGACGGAGGAATGACAAAGGGCAACGGGGTATCCCTTGCTCCTCCAAGCAGTTGTGCTGCTGGCAGACAGGAGAGGTACACACTCCTCCGCTCCTCTCAGCATCTGCATTCCCGTGGTTTCTGCTCTCGTGGCTAAACCGCTGCTCTGCAGTATGGGAAGGGTTTCGTGCAGTGGAGGGAGACTACAGTGCCCTCTCGTGGCTAAACCGCTGCTCTGCAGTATGGGGTTTCGTGCAGTGGAGGGAGACTACAGTGCTGAGACCTGGAGTTGTCCCTCATCCAGCCCATCTCTTGTTGGGCTGTGGTTACCTTCTCTCACCCCATTTTGTTCATGCTCTTTTGTTCCTACTGTCAGATGATGGCTTTTTCCCGTTTTCCTTTCTTTTCTTTGTCTACTAACTTCCCAACCCTTACTATCTGTTAATTTTCTTCTTCGTTTTGGGGCAGTCATCGTTCACCCTGCCTGTAGCAGCTGCATAAACTGACATCATCCCTTGTTTCTGGAAGAACATCATGCTCTGCCACTCCAGGGATCGAAGGCCTTTGGTCGTGCAGCATAATTAAGCTGGAAACCTCTGCTCAGGCTCTGGAGGCAGCACAGACCCTCAGCTGAGCGCACAGGACAGAGGGCTCGGGAGCCCTGGCCTGGAGCACCCAGGGCTGGAGCCACAGCTGCCCTCCGTGCCCTTGCCTTCTCCCTGTCCTGACTCACATTGTCATCTCATTTTATGTTCTTGTCTTCAGACAAGTGAATGGGATTTCAGCCTTTCTCTCCCCTCTTGCCTCTCCTGCCTAGTTAGAGAACGGTACACAAGAGAACAAGGCTGGTTTCCAGGACACCAGTTCTTGCAGATGGTACAGCGGGGTACGTTTGGATGTCAGCATCCAGGCTCCTGCCCTCATGCCTTGCAGTGTCAGTGCGCTGTCAGAAGCCTTTTCCTTCGCTCGCCCTCTTCTCCTTCCCCCTCCGGCTTTGCCCATCTTTCTTCTCGCTAGCTCCCTGATTCTCTCTTCTTGTTTCCTTCTTCCAGAGGCTCTCTACTCTTTTCATTTTTCTCCCCCGGAGCCTTTCTGTCTGCCTCCCTCCCTTGTCACTCTCTTGTCACCCTCCCTCATCTCTCCCCATTAGGATTTGCGGTGCAGGTGATCACTCACACAGGGATGTTTTCTCCAGCACAGCAGCTATTACCCAAAACTCAATTTCCCCCAACTTGAAATAGCTATTTAAAAAAAAAAAAAAAAAAAAATCTTTCAAATGGCTCTGTAACATTCTTATCTTCTTGGCAGTGTTGAGTCAATACACCTTCTGAGAGGAGAGATTTCTTTCTTTATCATTCAGGGCTAGGGGCTGAATTTAAATACGGTAATACATCCAATTTTCTCCTTTACTGTCCAAACCAATTGCAAAATAAAACACTTACCCCCCCCTCCGCGCTTTCTTCTCACCTTTCTTCCGAAGATTATTTGTTGTGCAAATGTATTATTTTCAAGCTCAGCTGATTATAGTAACATTTTTGATAAAAACAGAAACATAAAGGTAATGGCATTGTTTTTCTCTTTAATGTGTTTCTTCGGTACGTCCAGGGGAGGCTCTCCCAGCGCCGTTCCCCAGCCGTTCTTGGGCACTTTGAAATGAATAAAGCGTTTGTTTCCGAGACAACCCCTCGCCCCCGTGTTCAGATGTCAGTTGGTGCAGCGGGCAGAGTGGTTTCCCCAGTTTGACTCTGCCAGGATCCCTGACCCGGGCAGTGTCCTTCCCTGCCAGCTCCCTCCCGCTCGCTTCGGTAGCCGCACCACAGCCTTCCAGCCTGCCGACCCTCCGGCGGCCTCGTGCTGCGAGAGTGGGATGGGACCTCTCCTCACTCCATTCTCTCTCCTTCTGTTCAGCCAGAAGAAATACCAAGGCGGAGAGAAGGAAATTAGATCTCTAATGGTGGAGTTGAGTGTCAATGACGCGTGAGCTGCTGGAATTAATGCTCTGGCTTCTCCAGCTTCAGGAACCTCTGGGCCTACACATGTCATTTAACTGTGGCTGTGGGCTTGCTTAGCAGTCGGGCAGTGCCAGGGCTCATTAGCCAGAGCCACGGCACTGCTGAGCTCCTGCAATAGCCCCCCAAATGTGGAGGAACTAACTGCAGCTTAAGGAGGGAGCTAACTGAAAACACACCAACACTCCGCTGTCTTTTCCCTTCCTCCAAAGGAGAGAAACTGCACAGAATAAGCAGCAACTCCCCCTACCCTCTGCCTCGCACAGATTTGGGGCTGTTTCCACTCTCTGTGTGATTCCTTCTTTGTGTACCCAACTGGGTGATCAGACGCCTGCCAGACTCGCTTAGCTGGCCTCGTGCCCGCTGCTCAGGACCTGGGGCTGCCCAGACTTCCTTTCCCATCCTTCATTTCAGCTGCTCTGGACTTCCCAGCCTGGTCCAATCTGTTCCAGTCTCTTTCTGCATGAGTTGTGCTGTGTAATGGGGGGAGAGAGAGGACAGGAGTTTGGGGAACTCCTGCGTTCATTCTTCCCTGCCCTGGGAAGCAATCTCCTCGGGTGATTAGGATAGGAGGGAGTCAGGATTCCTGAGTTTGTTCTTCCCAAACAGAGTGTGTGATCCAGTGATAAGGGAGGTGCTGTGCACACTGAGGAAAGGGAAGAAAATAATTCCAGAAGTGTGTCAGCACCTCACAGCTGACACATTGGCAATGCACCTCAGTTCCTAAACTTGATGAGACCATCCACCTGTACAGTGGGTGGGTGGCAGCAGCAGCTCGGTTTACAGGGGATGCACTAAAGTCCACAGAGTCAAGCTGAAACCTTGCCACTGATTTGGGGAACCTGTTGCTGCAGCTTAAGAGTCTCTGCATCTCCTCCTCAGCCACCCTGTCCCACGTTTGACTGAAGGTGTCCCTCTTCTCTCCCAGTCCCAGGGAAGCCCATCCTGTCTGTGCACCAGACAGAGGAGAACACTCTTCTGGTGAAATGGGAGCCTCCGTTGGATGCGGAAGGCCAGGTGATGGGCTACCGGCTCCAGTTTGGCCGCAAGGATGTCGACCCCCTGGCTACCTTGGAGTTCACGGCCCTGGAGGATAAGTACACCGCTCCCAGCATCCACAAGGGCGCCACGTATGTTTTCAAGCTGGCCGTGAAAAGCCGGGCTGGCTTTGGGGAGGAAGCTGTGCAGGAACTCACCACCCCTGAAGACATCCCCAAGGGTTACCCCCAAATCCTCGAGGCGAGCAACATCACTTCCATGTCAGTCCAGTTTGGCTGGCTCCCCCCGGTGCTGGCTGAGAGGAACGGAGCCATCGTCAAATACACCGTGGCCTACCGGGAAGCCGGTTCTCCCGGCAACCCACTGGAAAAAGACCTGCCCCCCTCCCCAGAGAACTCGTACACCCTCAACGGCCTCAAACCCAACACCGCCTATGATGTTAAAATCCGTGCTCACACCAGTAAAGGCCCCGGGCCGTACAGCCCAACTGTCCAGTATCGGACGTTCCAGCTGGATCAAGGTAGGACTTACCGGTTTCTCCTCCCTCTCTCTCCTTGTAACCGGGGCTGGTGCCGGGAGGCAGAGAGCTGGAGAGGTCAAGCCAGGCTCAGCCAGGCTCGTGAGTAAATGCAGAGCACTCTGGTTTCACACTCAGTCCCTCAGCTCCTCTCTGCCTTGGGCCAGGTAAGTCCCTTTTACCACTTTCTTCTAAGTTAAGTCCGGACACCCTTCTTTCACTGGCACCTGAAGTGGGGGGCCAGTCGCTATACAGGTGGGAAGAGCATTTTCTTCAGCTTTCGCAAACAGCCAAAAGAAAACAGAAAAAATCAAAATACCTCAAAACGTGACCTGGGATGGGTTTCCTCACCTGAGCATGCTCAGAAAACCAGCGCCTCGTTCCTGCAGCAGCCACCCAGACCCATAAGTGTGTGGGCAAAGCCACGCACCCTCCCTCACCCCTCCCTGGGGTGTTAGGCATGGGGACAGGGAGCACTGGGAGATGAACCTTGGCAAAACTCAAGCAAAGTGTGGAGGAGGGAGCAAGCCCTTCCATTCCTGCAGCAGCAGCCAGACCCAGACTGGCAGACCCTTTTGCCAGTGCCTGACGTTCTCTTCCTTCTCTTTCTTGCTCTTCCTTCCCTCTGCTGCCTTTTCTTGTCCTTTCTCCCCTTCCTCCTCACTTTTCTCTCAGCAGTTTTACCCAAAAACTTCAAGGTGAAGATGGTGACAAAGACATCTGTCCTTCTGAGCTGGGAGTTCCCTGAGAATTACAACTCTCCCACCCCGTACAAGGCAAGTGGAAGGGAGGAGTCAGAACTGTGTTCCTTCTCGTTTTCCTGGGAGTCTTGTCTGTTGGTTTGACTATGAGGTTGTCTGAGATGGGCAGATAATGGTTAATCACTAGATCAAGGAGATGGGTTGAAAATGAGGGCTGTTGGATTGCATTCCCACCTCTGTTACCAAATTACTGCCTCCCTAGGCAAGTTACCACAATTTTCCCACTTCCAGATAAAACTTCCTCTTCCCAGAAAAGTCTCAAGGCTTTGTCCTGCATCTGCGTTACGCATGGGGACCCTGCAGTGGGCAGAAGAGGCAGACAGCTCCCCAAATCCTTCTATTTCTGTGTTTGCACCAGCTCGGGCAGAGCTGGGTGGAGCGTGGCACAGCTCTGTGCCCCACGTTCTCTGCAAGCCGAAGCAGCGGGGAGGAAGGAGTTTTGGTTGCTTGAGCAGTGTCAGCCTTGCTCATGGTACAACTTTGCTGCCTCTTCGCCTCCCACAGATCCAGTACAACGGGCTGAATGTCGATGTGGATGGCCGTACCACCAAGAAACTCATCACCAACCTAAAGCCCCGCACGTTCTACAACTTCGTTCTCATGAACCAAGGCAATAGCATGGGTGGCTTGCAGCAGAACGTCGCTGCCTGGACCGCTGCTGACATGTTATCAAAGAAGCCAGAGGTGACCCACAAACCTGATGCTGATGGCAACGTGGTGGTGATTCTCCCAGATGTGAAGAGCTCTGTGCCTGTCCAGTAGGTTTCTGTTAAACTGCAGATCTGGGGTGCTCAGTTTATGTTGGGGGGGTCATCCCTGACGGCTGGAGTCCACAGTACAAACCCACAAGGCCAGCGGCAGGGGGTTGTATTCCCTGCATTTTTAGCCTTGCTTACTGTTGTCTTCTGGAGCTACTTCCCAGAGCTAACAGGGGATGCTAAAGAAATGCAAAGGGAGTAAATAAGGAGACACGTCGTATGGGGCTGCCACTGAATCCAGGCTCCTTCCAGGGGCAGCAATAACAGCTCTGCTAAATTAAAAGTAAGGGGCTTGCTGGGTTGGGCCAGTGGGGCTGCTTGGGCAAACGTAGCCTTCCACATCAGTGTGTGCAGTCTCTTCTGTGGCTCGTAGAAGGAGATTAATTCTTTGTTTCTTCTGGTTATTCCCAACTCTTAGGGCTTACTACATTGTGGTGGTGCCTCTAAGGAAGTCCCGGGGAGGACAGTTCCTCAACGCCTTGGGCAGCCCTGAGGAGATGGACCTGGAGGAGGTGAGTGTGGGTGGAACTGAAGGCAGCTGTAGCGAGAGAGCAAACAGATGGGATGGGGACCTGAGAGCCTGGGAAGGGTGGGTTTGGGGTATCTCTGCTCCACATTCTGAGAAGCTAAGGTGTGGCCAGTCTGAGTGGGGTGGTTTGGCTCTCCTTCCTTCCTGTTCCTTTGATGGTGCTGAAGGCATCAGGGCTCAGAGTGTTCCTTGTCTTCCTCCAGCTTGTTCAGGACATTGCCAGGCTCCGACGCCGAAGTCTGCGTCACTCCCGACAACTGGACTTCCCCAAGCCCTACATTGCTGCCCGTTTTCGCTCCCTTCCCTCCCACTTTATCTTGGGGGACATGAAGCACTATGACAACTTCGAGAACAGAGCCCTGGAGCCAGGGCAGAAATATGTCGTCTTCATCCTGGCAGTGCTCCAGGAACCCGAGGCTGTAAGTGCTGCCTGCTTTCTCTTGCCCTCTTCAGATGCTTGTGTCCCTCTGTCCCCATTACCGACCGGAGACAGCGGCTGGTCCCTCGTGAGGTGCCAGCAGCCCTGGTGCCCTCCTGGCATTCTCCGTAACTCTGTCCCACCAGATGCCAAGAGCTTGAGGTTTTTTTTTTCTTTGTAAAGACCTCCCAGTCCAGCTGTGGAGCTTTTGCATGTGGCTGTTGGAGCTGTGTCTGCATGCAGCAAGCGTGCCCTTCCAAGCAGACAGGCTAATGACGCAAGCGTCTTGTGCACTGCTGCTGCGTTTTGCCGCTCGTCGTAGGCAGGACTTGCTATGCTGTGGCTCCAGATTCGAGTCCAGAACAGGGAGTACTCCACTATCCACTCAGGACTACACTGGAGTGCAGAGATCCCTAGGTCAAACCCCTTTACAAAGAGTAATTTCTTGTAAAGGCTGTCCTTGCATTCCTCAGAGCAATGACCCTCGGCATCCTGCTTTGACAGCAGTGTGTCACACTCCCTGGTCATTACTAAGTTCCCCACCAAGCAGAAAGGGAAGCATTTTTTTTTATGGAAAACTACATGTGCTCTCTGCTCTTTTTACCACTTCAGCACCTCTGCTGGTTTCAGTGGTGCTGTGTTTGGCTTTATGAAAACAACTGTTTGCATATTTACCTGCCTCCTTCCTCATGCACAATAGGAAGCAGTCTAATACTTCGGGTTTTTTAAATCCCCCTATGGAGTTGTAGCAGGGAGCTATTTGAAATTAAGGATTTTCAGAGGGTTTTTTCCCAAATAAATATTTAGTTGTGTATTTGATATTAAAGGCTTAGGCTGACACGCTCCTGAATGGGTTTCTCAATCGGATTACTGCAGCTTGTGGTAATTTCTGCTTTAGAACAAGGTACTGCATACTCGCTCATGACGGCCTGGATTCACAGCAGCTCCCAAGTACGTAGCAGTATTTCAGTCTTGCTGAGAGCTGATAGAGTTCAAGGACCCAAAGTCCAGATCTCATCTTCTTGTCTTGTCCCAGACTTCTCACTCAAACCAGGGCATTCCGGTTCTCCTCGGTGCATTTTAGTTCCTGTAGTTTCCATGGAAGATGGGCGGCAGTGCAGCCTTCCTGGGCTGGGGAGGTTGTAGCACTCGTGAGAACAAGCAGGCAGTGCCCATTAGTTAGGACTCTGATGGGTCTGAATGTGCCTCTGATTCTCCTCAGGAGCCCAGCTCATTGCAGAGGGAGCAGAGGAGATGTTGCCTTTTATTAATTTATATTTAATTGTAAGGGTTGGGGTTTTTTCAGTCACCAGACCAGACTGTTTCTAAGCGTTAATTCTTGTTTTAATCCCTTCCCTCTTTCTCTGTAATCCCATCTGACTGTCAAAATCCAGATGGTTACATGAGAGCTTGGAGAGCGCGCGCGCGTGTGTGTGTGTGTGTGTGGCAGTGGAGGGGAGTGGGATGTGGTGGAACACAGGCATAGTCAACTGGTTTCCTAAAAGCACTTTCATGGCTACATTAGGTGAGCCATAGGGATGAGCCAGTTGCATCTTCATGTGAATGTGATCTTTCAATGGCCTGGAGCTTTGGAGGAGGAAGGTACCTGTCACATGGATGCTCACAGACAAGGGTTTTTTCCTGTAGACTGAAGAGGGCGTTTTCTCTGGTATTGTTTGTGCTGCAGAGAGCTCACATCCTCTCTAGCAATTTCTCTTGCGAAATACTGTATGCTTGCCCATTGTTTTCAGTCCCTGTTCCATCTCTGAACTCTGTTCCGCAATCTTTCATGTCTTCCAGACTTTTGCTGCTAGCCCTTTCTCCGACCCCATCCAGCTGGACAACCCTGATCCACAGCCGATCATCGATGGAGAGGAGGGGCTCATCTGGGTCATCGGGCCCGTCCTGGCCGTGGTGTTCATCATCTGCATTGTCATTGCCATTCTACTCTACAAAAAGTAAGAGATGCTTCTTGCCCAGATCTGCTCACCAGCTCTAGCCCCTCAAGGGAGTTTCCTCCTTGGTCCTGTAGTTGTCAGCTGAGGGCAAATCCTTCTACCAGCACCAGAGAGAGGAGTCCTGAGACACAAATGTGGGAATGGAAGGGTCTGACTGGCACAGCAGAGATTAGCAGTGGGTTACAGGGACTTGCTGCTTCAGAGTCCACCCCATGGCACCCTCAGTAAAGCTGTGCTTGTCTGTAGATAGTCTGTTGTGGCACGTGTGCAGTGAGTTTGTCAGGTCTCTTGCCCGTCTCCTCCAGCAGAGCTGCTTACATCCACAACCTTGGGCTCCCCTTCCTGTGCTCCGTGTGTGTATGCACAGTGAAGGCACCTTTGGGCTGTGGATCAGCAGAGACCTCCACTGTTCCCAAACTGGTTTTCAGCTGGAGTTGGGAGACAAGAGCAGCAGCAGCAGGGGTGTAATGTGAGTCTACAGGAGAGAGGAAGGAACAACCCCTGGAAATTTTCCCCTTCTCCTTGGCTTTCAGAACAGCTCATGGGGCATGGATGGGAATGGGGACCCCTTGAGCACACACCGGCCAAACTGCAATGAAAGAGGATGGGAAAGGAAGCAGATGCTGCACAAGATAGATCAAGAAAAGGGGCAGGATGGCAGCTATGGCCAATGCAGGGGTGTTCTTAGCTGGGACACCTAGTACCCAGGATGGAGGGAGCTCTCGTAACCCTGCTCTATCCTCCATCTGCACGGGTGTGTTTGCTTATGCACATGAGTGTGTCTTTTGCGTCCCAGCATGTGTGAAGCTGCTGGACTCATGAGTGCTCTGAGGTCAGGGACTCAGGTGGCCCTTGTTGGTGTTCGTTAGCACCAAGCTAAATGGGTAATCTTTGCTGATCCCACCTGTGTTACCAGGGTTAGAGCTGAGCAAATGCTTCCCCTTTCCTCTACCAGTCCTTTCTAACCTGGACATTTGTCTTGTCTTCTCTCCACTTACTGCTTTCCTGGACAGCAAGCCAGACAGGTAAGAGCACCAGATTTGCCATTTACTTAGGTTCTTTCTTGCTGTGTGCTAGGCAGTGTTTACTGTCTGTGGTGATGGGGCTTTGTTGGTACAGTTCCTACCATTAGATCTGTCCTGATAGATACCCTGTGTCAGACTGGCATGGGACCACGTTTGAATCAGGGGAGGGAAACCCAAAGAAAGCTCAGCTTTCTCCTGCCTCTCTGTTCCTAAATATAATGGTCCTTTCTCAAGCTGAGCAGCAGTGACAGTAAACGGCTCATAAAATGTTGGGTTAATGGAGCAGAGAAACACCCATTTGTGTTGCAGTCAGAGGTGAAAGCAGGTTTTCTCCATGTCTGACTGCTCCATACAGGCTGTCCCTGAGCCACTGGCGTACTGGAAGCAGAATCTCGCCAGCTGAGCTGTCCTCGCCCTGTTGCAAAAGCTGTTCTTGCCCCATCGGCCAGGGACTTCTAACAGAGTTCACTTATGTCTGCAAAAATGAGACTTCTTTCGAACCATTCCCAAGGCTGGGAGAGCTTTCACTGGAAGTAACTTATGGGTTTAGCCAATGAACTATTAACAGCAGTTTCAGAACTGCGGCAAAAATAAACTACTCCCAAACTGCAAAGTGGTGTCATTCCAAACTGCTGCCCCATGCAGTGCTGGCAGGGCTCCTGCCACTTCTTCTAGCTATTAATGACATTAAGAGACAGCTAAAAATGTACTGAATAACCTCCTCTCTGCTTAAGTAATTACCATTATTGCTGCAGGGATATTACTGGGGGCTTCTGTGCAACCCAAGCAGGAGAGGCAAGGAGCTCTACAGCCGTCCTGCTCGAAGGGCTAGGACAATATTTGCAAGCTTGGGGGTCTGGGTGCACGTTCTCTGCCCACTGGAGAAATTCTGTTCCCAGCAGCTTGTCACTGTTCCCTTGCCAGAGGTTATCACATCTTCAGATCAGCGCTGGGCTTTGCTTCCAAATTCTTTTCAAGGAGAATGAGCCAGGTCAGCAAAGACTTTTCAACTGCCTCAGCTAACCTAACCCATTTTGAGCAAAATATATTAGGAAGCACTTACATGTGCAGCTCAGCTGGCAGGTTGGAGCGGGCTTCAGCTCCTGGCAAGGAGGTGAGACAGATCTCAGCAGGCACAGCTGTGATGGTAGAGAATGTGTCTACATTGGTTTTTGAACCCAGATTTTTAGGGTTCTGCAGATCAAAAGAGGTTGAAAACCACTGCCCTGGCTTCTCCATCTGCAGCAAGGCGCTGAGAGCTCCGAAACAAGCCAACGGGGCAGTGTCAGTACTTCATGTCCAAGGGCATCACGGCCAGGAGATTCTGTACTTTTCCAAATGATTATGTTGGCTCTGGTTCTTTCAGGCTGAAAATGGCTTGGCCAGAATTGGAAGGTTTCTGCTTGCAGAGCTCTGCGGAGTTCGGCGGAGGCTTCTCTGTGCAGGGAGGCTGAGGTGTGAGTTCACAGCACCTCAGCTGCTCCTTGCTGCCTGTCTGTGCTTCTGCTGTGAGAAGGGGGAACTTCCAGACGTGTCTGAAAGCTGCTGAGGGGTTGTAAACCCATCAAATACAGCACTGACAAAACCTTCCAAACCTCATGCCTTTTCTGATGCTTTTTATGTAACTTATATCCTTGGCTGCTTCTGGCCCTGATTTTGGTGGGAGCTCTGCTCGGGCCTGAACATGGCCTGAGTAGCTGAGAAGACTGAAAGGCCCAGAAGCTAAGATGCTTTGTCTTTTTGTTTTTTCGTTTGGTTTTTTTTTTTTTTTTTCCTTCTTCTTCTAAAGCAAACGGAAAGATTCAGAGCCACGGACAAAGTGCCTCCTGAACAATGCTGAAATCGCCCCTCACCACCCTAAGGACCCTGTGGAAATGAGGCGCATCAACTTCCAAACTCCAGGTAACCGGCTGCAAACCAGCCTTTGTCCCTGGGAAGGCAGGAGTGGAGCGACTGCCCTTTCCTTAGCCCCTTCCTGCCTGCGTGAAGGCTGCCGTGGTGCTGCCTTTGGGACCTAGCGCTGTCCTAGGGTGCGGCCAAGGAACCTCAAAGCTTTGTCTACGCTAAGCGAGAAAGCTGAAGGAAGCCTTTGCTGGGAAACCTCAGGGACCTTGCACAGGCTCTACCCAGCCACTAGCAAGGCAGGAAGAAGGGCTTTCCTGGATACCCAGCTAAACTGGTGCATTCTGGGCTAAGTACACAGCTGCAAGCGCCGTGGCCGTGCCAAGCTTGCCAGACCACCGATGCTGCCGCGCAGCGCCGTGCCTCGCGCTGGGAGATCCCCAGGGGTGGTGGAGATGAAGCGTGGCGGGCTGCCCAGCACTCACCGCTCCGGCCACGTGTAACTGGTGCTTTCTGCATACACGCCAAAACGCTCACGCGAGGAGCCAGGCCTGCCCCGTGGGTTGTGCGGAGGGAGAAAGGCAGTGGTTGCTTTGCGCAGGCGGCGTCTCCTCGCTCAGCGCGGACACCATCACTGCGAAGGGCCGCTGAGCTAGCGTGTAACTGCACTTAACTCCCGGGCGGAGAAGCTCGATGCACCCTCCTTTCTGTACACGTGTGTCCCCATGTACATGCATGTCTAAGCTGCCTGCATGGCACCTCCACAAGCCACCACTGACACGGCCCGGCCCGGGCGCATCCTCACGCAGACAGACACTTGGTGATGCCGAGCAGTGCCTGCGCACTGGTACACACCTCTGCCTCCGAGTTCCTGGTGCTTGAGGATTTGGAAGGGAATTTATTGTGCTTTTTGGGGGCTGGCTGTTGTTTTCAGTTTGTTTGTATTTTTTTGCTGTTTTGTGCTTGTTAGTAATGTTTCTGCAGCTCCTGTTTCCCCTTCCCATCCCAGTCCTGTCCTTAGCGTTGTCTGAGTTTTCCTAGGGTGAGGGTTGGCAAGTCAGTGGGTACTCGGAGGGCAGGGATCTTTGAGGAAGCACAGAGGCAGCGCTGAGCTGAGGGTTTCGTATCAAAAAGAGTTGGGAACAACCTGGTGGTATCAGCCCAAGCTTAGGAATGATTGAGTCTCAGCTGAGGGATGGAAGCGGGTTTAATGCCGTATGCAGGGACTGAATGCAGAGCAGTTCAGCTGCAGGTAGGTCCCTAAATCAGGTCTTACGCAGGGGTGCTCTTGCAGGAAAGGCTGAAGGTCTTTGAGATCTGCAGCAGGAGAGAAGTCCGTTCTCCCTGAGCATGGGGGGGACTGAGCAGGGCACTGCTCGGAAAGCTCGAGAGGCGCCTGCTGTCCCAACTGTTTCGCTCTTTGCAGGAGCAGCTTTTGAGTGTCCTCAGCCGCAGGTTGCATTTGGCTGGGCTCAGTGTTATGCGTAGGGTGGAAACAGGAGCTCCCTTTGGGAGTGTTCAGGTTGGCTTCTGGGTGCTCCAGGTTGTGATGTGAGACCCAAGAGAGTGGGCTGCGCTCCCCCATGGGAAACCTATGCTGAGATAAGGGTCAGGATAAAAGGTTGTGGCCGTCCAGCTTAGGCTGGGTGCTCAGAAGCAGCTGGGAGTGCTGTTTCATGTGTTTCCCTTACTGGGTATTTTGCCCTGTCCCCACAGGATAGCGGAGTCAGCTGAGGGCACTTCTGAGCTTCAGTTGAGGTCATCAATAGATGAGTGTCTGTCTTGCGTTGACCCCGCTGTTTTGGTCAGGCTGTACCTCTGAATTCTTGGTCTGAGAGGACTTGCAAACCTGCCATTAAGGCTCTGCTAGGTGAAGAGCTGCAGATCTCCAAAGACTGCCCGACTTTGTCCGCTCTAGCTTTAGAAGGATGCTGCCACTTTTTCTTTATAAGTTTATCTAGCTAAAGAGTTTCCCTGGCTAGTTTATTGTGCTGTGTGGTTTGTAAAGCAGTGAGAGGTTTCAAAGGCTTTGGGAGAGTTGGTCACCTCCCGCAGAATTTTGCAAAGAGTTGGGTGAAAATGGAGATGGCTGGAAAACCAGAGCTTGAAGTGCCTTGAGCTTGTTGGTGACGATGGAGAAACTGTGGTGCAGTTTGCAGGGGAAGGCTCCAGAGGTGCTGTCTGAATTGAAGCCACTTGAATTAAATGTATTGTGGTTTAGAAGAGGGCCCGTGGGCTCTTCTCCAGCCAGATGACGTGGGGGCCAGCAAGCAGAGAGTCTGGATCCTGTCCCCAGCAGCCAAGCAGAGGGGGACGTGGGTGCGCTCGGCGAGGGGGAAGCATAGCACATCTTGGATATCCTGTCCTAGCCTAATCAGCACAAAAAATAACTTTCTTTTCCTCTTCAGATTTATGTTGGTTTTTGTTTTTTTATTAGCATGAAATTTTTACAAAAGTGTATATTTTATTTATTTTTTTTTTTTACTGTTTTCTGCAGATTCTGGTCTGAGCAGCCCTCTCAGTGACCCTGAGTTTGACTTTGAAAGTTAGTTCCTGTGTGTTTTTGTTCCTGTTGGTTTCATTTTCCTCCCCCCATTATTATTTTTTTTCTCTTCTGTCCCTTTCCTTTCCAGTTCTGTTTCGTTCCTGTTACTTTTTTTTTTTTTGCCAAATTCGCTGTATTCCTGCGGTGTTTGCCCATCTCATCCCCTTTTCTGTGCCATCTGTTTGTCTGAACTGCACTTCCAGTTTTACAGTATCAAACAGGCCTTTTGCAAGACAAGGATGGTAGCAGCAGAACAGAGCCCCGGGTAGCAGCGGGGGACGCTGTCCGTCCTTCTGTGTCTCTTTTGCTGTCTCAGGAGCAAGACCTGGGTTTCAAGGCTTCCTTTTCTCCCCGTTGTCGAAGATGTTTCATTTTGGAAGCTTGGCTAAATGTCCCTCGTCCTTATTCATGGGCAGAAAGCGATCCGGTGTGCGAGCGCTGTCTGTGTGCGTGCCTGTGGTTTTGTGTTCATTGCTTCGTAACGCGGGAAAGAGAAAACCAGAGCTGCAGCTGACGATCCCCTCGCGCTTCGGAGGGAGCCGCGCGGGCACCTTCTCATGTCCGAGAAGGAAAAGGGCCCTTTCCCATCTGTGGCAGATGTCTGTTCCTTGGCATCAACTTGTTCCAGGAGCACAAAAAGACCAGAGGCTTCTCCATGGTCCTCCGCACCCCCTGGGTTTCATGCAGAGTGCCATCCAGCCGCGGTGATTTTGCAAGGATAAATGGGTTCTGGCCCGTGTAGCAGATGTTAGGGTGACGTTGCTGGCGAGTTGGCTGGTGCACAGAGAATCAAGTCTTTTGTGATAAGATTAGAGAGATTCAAGTGATTGAAATGGTAGATGAGACTGGCTCTAAAAGACTTCATCCCCATTAGAAGCCAAGATCCCAGCTTTGCTGGGCAGGTTTGGGGTTTGAATTTTTTATGGTTTTTTTTTACTGCTGGGCAGGGAAGTAGATGTGAGGTTTGAGCTGACAAACATGAAGAATCACAGATGCTGCTTGTGCTCGGAGATGTGAGGGCTGGGACGTTTTTCTGAAGAGTTTAATGTAAATACTTGTCTCTTTGGTATTGAATACTCCTGCCGATACTGTCCCAGTCCACCCACCAGCTCCCCTTGACCCCCTTGTTGTAACAGAGGGGGTTACGTGAGGGTTTTTTTGAGCCACACTGGTCCATGGCTGAACCTCAGCCCGCAGCAGTTTTCTCCCTGCTACCCATGCCGCTGCGGGGGGGCTCCCTGGGTGGCAGCCCCACAGGTAGCCAG